GATTAATTACCGAAGCCTTTTTATTTAACAACTTATAGATAATAGCTTTTTTAAAGTTATTTTAATAACGACTATTGTTTATAAGTATCGTAGCCCCGACTTTTATTAATATAAACCTCACTACGACTAGCTGGCCGTAATAATATATTCTTATTATTAAAAAAGTACTATTATTAATTATTAACTAATCCTAATAATTTATAAAATAAACTAAAAAGTATTATTAAACTAATTTATTATAAAATAAAACCTTTATTAAAATTATTTATTAAAAAAAGGGTTAGATTTTAAAAAAAATCGTAAAAAAATAATCTGTTAAGGTTTTATTATTCTTTTTAAGAAATAATAAATAAAATATAATATAAACTCTATATTAAAATAATTATTTATAAAAAGTCGTATATTTTATAATATATTAGTTAAAAGCTTAATAATAAAATTATATTATTTTTAAAATTTTTGACTTTATAAAATTAATTAATATTCGGGTGGTTATTTTTTAAAAAAAGAAATAATAATAGTTAACTAAATAATAATAAAAAGCCGTACGTAATTAATAATCAATCTTATAAAAGGGGAAGTTTATTAATATAAGTATTATTTTAAAATTAGCTTTATAAAATATTTTTAACTCTAATTAAAAGCTCTATTATAAATAGATAATATAAATTAAAATTAAAAAAATTAATAACATAACTTTAAAATAAAAGAATTAATAAAATAAAAAAGTTAAAATATTTTATAAATATTTAGTAAAATTGAATTATATTAATTGTATTTTTTTAAGTTAATTAGAAAGTTAAATAGCAACGTTGGTATAAGAGCGACGCCGGTATATTAATTTACGACGCCGGTATATTAATTCCTATATAATAATTTCGCTTTTTTATTATTATTTTTATATAATAAATATATTTTTATTAAAATAAAAGATATAAATAATTATAATAGCTCTTTTATTTATAAATTAATATATAAAGTTTTATTCACTATATAATAATACTTTATTTTAATATAATTTAACCCCTTTTAATATTAAATAAGCTCTTAAAAGGTATTTAAAGATTTCTCTTAATAATTCAAATTAATTTAAATACTACTAACGTACATGTATAGCGAGCGGGCTATTATAGCGAGCGGGCCACTTTTAAATACCCTCCTATTATTTATGTAAGTTAATTAAGCTATATCGTACGAAATGAATTAGAACTACTTATTAGCCTCTTTTTTAGAGGTTTCCTAAACTATTTAATATATTTATATATTATATTTAGTTTTTCTATAGTTATTATATTACCGCCCGCGCGATTTAACCCTTTTTATATAAGTACCCTCTTAACGTATATTTTCGTTTTTAATATTAATAACCCCTTTTTTTATTTAAATTACCTCGGTTTTAATAATATTAAGTAAGCCTCTAAAACGTAATTATATTTTTTTAATTTTCCGGTGCTTATTTAATATTTTATTTATTATACGAAGCCCGCGGTATTTAGTTTTAATAAGAATTAGTTTATATATTAACTTACTAATATTTTTAGTTTATAAATTAATAACTTTATATAAATATATTAGTAAGCTATATTGATAGCTATGAATACGTTTTTTAAGTAAAATAGAGCTTTATACGGCGTTATATATTATAGTTAATGTTTTTAAGTTTTAAGAGCCTTAGTTATTTAGGCGTAAGTTAGATAATATTAGCGTTTTTAGTTTAAAATCTAGGCGGGAAATAACTACTTTTAAATTAAAAAATATAATTCTAACTTATTTAAAACCAGCTTATATATTTTTTTCTTTTATTAAAATAAAAAAGGCTATTTTAAAGATAAAAAAGAAATCGTTTTTAATAATATATATAATTTATATCTATATTATTTTTTTGATTTTTTTATTATATAAAACTTTTAATAAACTAAAATAATTAATATTAAAAAGTTAAAGCTCGTATAATAAATAAGGAGGTATATAAAAAGCGATAATACTACGCTTTTTATAATAATTATTAAATTTAATTAATTTATAATTATTATAGCTATCGAGGATTAAAAGCTATTTAATACTTTTTATATAAAACTTTATATATTTTTTAAAATGCTTTAACTAATTTAAGCCGATTTTATTTATAATTTATTTATTTTTGTTAAAGTGGATACGTTATTTAGGAGGGAATTAGTTATTAATATATTATAAAAAGAAGTAATATTTGCTTTTTATAATAACGTACAAAAGTAACGCTTAGCTATCCGTATATATACCTTAAATAATAAAAATTTATTCTCAATTACTAAGCTACTTCGTATAAAGCTTTTTATAATAATTAAAAATTATAATAATTTTTACGTACGAAAATATTCTTATTAAAAAGCCCGTCTTATTAAAATTATAAATATTATAATTATATATTTTATACTTCGTAATCGTATTTCGTACGAAAGTAAACTAAGCTTAAATAATTATAAAATCCTTAGCTAATACTTTTTAATAGTCGATTTTATATTAAAAACGCATTTTTAATTATAATTAGCGTTATATAAAGTTTTTTACTTATCGTGGTTTAATACGTATTGCGTTGCGTTTATTAAAAAAATAATCGGTTATATTTTATACATCGTTAAATCGTAATAAAAATCCTTAATTAATTAAGTTAATAACTCGTTTAAAAATTACGGTTTCTTTTAAAAAAGTTATTTTTATTAAATTCGTATATATTTTTTATTATAATAGTCGGCCGACGCGTCGGTATTAAAATATTATTTTTAAGATATTATAAATAATAACGGCTTTTTATATAAATAATTTTAAATCTTTTTTAATAGCTTAAAATATAAAGATAATATAGCTTTTTTTAAAAAAAGAAGTTATTACCGTACGTAAAGGAAAGTTATTATAAAAGGAAAAAGTATAAATAGTAATAAAAATAGCCCGCTCGTTATAATAGCCCGCTCGCTATGTATGTACGTTATATAAATCTTAATAGTTCTTAATAAAATATAGTTATTATTATTATTAGTACGCTTTAATATAATAATATTATAAGTAGGTTAGGGCAACTAACTATAGCACAAAGTAAAAGCTTTAGTAATTATACTTCTAATATTATTATCCTCTATTATTATTATCTCCTATTCTATATTATATAGCTACACCGGCTAGCATTTTAAATAAATAGGCCGTCATAAATAAATTTGCTGCTTAATTTTATAAATAAATTTAAACTTAATAAATAGATTAATAATAAAAAAATTTATAGAAAATAGAATCCTTTGGATTAGACGTAGTAGCCTACCTATTATATATATATATATTATTACTATAGTAATTTATATAGTGTTAGGCCTGCACCGTACTAAAGGTGATATACACAAATCAGACTGTATAGGTTAAAGTATTATACGTAAATAAGGTATATGTTCGTTAGACTAGTAATAACCCCTTTTCGTGGTAATAAGGACTATATTAGTTAGAACTATTAATTAATTAATAAACACAATAATAATCGCTAGCTATACTGGATCCGGCCAACTGGCCACTTAGCCTTTTAATCATTAACTAACATAGTTATGCCTTTACTCGCTAGTAGCCACGCTGTCGTTGTGACAAGGGGCTACTGAGCGCTCACTAACTATCGGATTAGAAGCCCAATTCGACCTCGAGTCAGCGCCAGCGCAGGGGTCATCTAAGGGTCTCTATATCAGCGTTTAACCGGCGATCTAACTAACGGTTAGAACCTCTCTTTTCTACTTCACGTAAAGATTAATACAAAAGTAATTGACCCTTCATCACCGCGGTTCGATCAAACAAATCACCCTGTGATTACGTAAACCAACACTAACAGTCACTGAGTGCTTACTGATACCGGTCTGGTAACTAGTAGCAGGACAGAGAATACTGTTCAGGACTTGTATATAATATGACCTGAGCCTGGCTTATGGTCAGACTTCTATGGCGCTTCAGCAACCAACTTTTTATTTACCCTCACGGATACTTTCAGCTTACCTTCACTGCGAAAGACTTGTCGAGTCTAATACTGATCACCTTAGCCTCTAAGAGACCCGATCTACGCACAGCCTACGACCTATAACCTAAATACATTACCTGCGTTTAATCTTCAATCCCCAACTTCTGTTAGCAGACCCTATTGCCGGATAACTGAACGTACCACGTGGCATACCTAATTCCGGCCCTGGCTTCCGTGGGCTGGAATATTCCCTTAGCCGGCGAGACAGCCTTTCACGCCACTGTTTCAACCTCGGTAGTTCTTAACGAGATATGTTCGCTTCTAAGTTGGCGAGATGCAAAGCTCGAAGGAGAGCACAGTGGAACCAGACAGGCGCCGGTTTGGGAACGGGCTTATAGTCCCGTGCGATAAACAGTCTCTTAGCCCTGAGATTTCCAGCTGGGGTGGGGTCTAGCAAGTTGTGGGTGTAGGCGCCGGCACAAGCCCATACGGTAGGTGTGTCCGATCCGAGCACGGTGTTGGTGATGTTGATTGGTGGATAGTTGGTGTTAGCCTCGGCTTGTCCTTGACGGACCACCGGCCGCTGTCCTCGGCGTATAGAAGTTGACGAATGCTACTCGGCATATCGCTATGGCTCGCAAGCCTTCCGCTTGCCCAATATGCGCAACCAGACTTGTCACATAATAAGTCGCTAGCTCATTGTGCTTCTTATCGTTGTCATCAACCCAGCAGTGCAGTCCAAGATTACAGTGCGGGCTGTGACATTAAAGAGCTACTGCGAGTGGCAGTGCTCGCAGGTGTTGGGCGCCGCGTCCAAGACAGCGTATGAGAAGTCCTACCAGGTTATGGTCGAACACTACATTGACCACGAACAAGCGGAAGAATACCAAAATGCTTTTTTTCATGGCCAACGGCAGAAGGTCGCTGTAAAACGTTTCATCAGGAACATCTGCGACTGTGCCAGGAGTCGGGAACAGGAACCGCAATATACCAGAAGTGTGAAATCACCGTGATCTTCTAGTCGAGATGCCCTTCCTTCCTATCGAGGCTCCTGCTCCTCTATCTCCACATTCGCATGCCGAAAGTACCCCGCAGCCCTTGATTCCTCCTGCCAGTACTTCATACTTTTCAAAGGCTCCTGTCCAATCCATGTAGGGGGGTCCACCAGCGACGCTATTGCAGAGCATCCAGTAGTAGTTGAGGGTCTGGGGATCTGTCACCTCGCTAGCGTTCAGCCCATCCCGAAGCCCCCAGCTCGTCTTTGTATCATGTCTGTTGTTTTAAATGCGTTTATGTCCGTGAGTGCCGCTTAAGCTAGCCCTGAAAGTTATAGCCAATAGCGCTTTTGGTCACTCTGCGGTGACCATGCTGTATTGTACGTCCAACTGTCTCCTTCAATCCATATTCTAGCTTTGGCCTGGGAACGGAACAGCCTTCCTGGGTTAGACGGCTGGTATTGCACTAGCACCTTACCGTCGGATCTAGTGCAATCGAAGTCGATTCTAGTCTTAGCTCCACCAGTCCGCCGGGGCGTGTAACCAACCCATTTGGGCTCGACACCGATTACTGTAGCGAGCGTGTTTGTCAATACCAGCGGACGATGATCAAAGTGCCGGAGTAACCACTTACAGTCCTCAACCATTTGATCTATCTTTCGCATTAGAGGCTGATATCGGAAATGCCCACCCTCCTTTGGGGCAAACACGACGGCGACTGGGTCTTTATCCGACGCGAAGACGTTGCCGCTCAGATCGCTAAGCCCGTAGTACATATTCGAGCTTCCCTTCCCCTTTTTCAGGACCTTAATACCATTCTTGTCGAACGTGTCGGCGTTGAGGAGGACGGGGCTCTCGTATACATGCGCCATCCACACCGCCGATTGCGACATAACGATGAGGCCAATGCATCCGCAGAACCCGAGTATCGCGAGCGAGCGCGGTTCATTTTTGAAGCGGATATACGCGGAGGTGACCTGGCCGCCGTAGAGAGGAACGATATCTGTTTGGGTGTCTGCACGCTTGGCGATCTCGCCGCGGAAGAAGCCGTCGACGTTGTTGCCGTAGTGCTTTGGGTCGTACCAGTGCCCGCGGGATGGGTGCGAGGACGGGTCGGGGGCTTCGAGGACTCGGGGGACGAGGCTACGGTGACATACGCCGATCTTCTGTTCGGTATTACCACATGTTTCGAGGCTGCAATACTGGCTTTCGTCTGGTGATGCTCGGCGTAGGGAGACGTGGCCGGGTGCGAGATTCGAAGTCCGTTCGTGCGCGGCCGCGATCCGTAGTAGAGAAAGCAGAAGGATTAGTTTCGAAATCCGGAGCATTTTGGAATGTTAGTTGAAGAGGGCCGAGAGAAGCATTCGGGCAGGTACAAGAACTGGTGAATCATAGGTTCCTGGTTTTATAGAGATTCAAAACGTAGGCTGATGAACAGTGGCTAGCTTGTCCGCAGCTGAAAACACGACATCCCCGCTAAGCCTCCAGCTCACCAATCGCTCCTTCAATTTTATGGCAAATTTCCTTAGTAAATCTGTTTTCATAAGTCTTCAATAAGAAATGCATATGATAGGGCATGAATAGGAGGTAATAACTCATATAAAGAAATGGCGCTAGGCAATTCTATTTCTTAGGTCTGGTGCTCGCCGATCCCCACACACGGCCGCTCCGTGAGACACTCTATTTACGTTTATTAACGGAGATTAATGTACTATGAGGGGAATTTATACTCCGCAGGCCGAGCTTCTGAGAAAGGCATTCGACATAGCCCCCCAGCTGTTCACTATGTACAAACCTAGCAGCATTTAAAGAAAGAAAGAAAGAAAGCACCAAAATCAAGAGTTGCGCAGTTGTGCTCCGTAGGCAACTTCCAGTGCCGCCTAAAGCAGATCTGCTAAGTTCGGTGGGGTGCTCTCGGTGGCGTGTTGGCCATGGTTGCTCCTGAGGCCATGGGGTTGCCACGGTGCCTACGTCGCTAGGGGCCTCACGACGGGGGAGCCGCCGTTCTCGGGCCGGCAATTCTCCGTGTCTGATGGATTAAATGGAGAATTATGAGGGGCTCGGTTAGAGAGAGGTAGATTCGAACAAAAGCCACGACCAAACCCTAGGTGCAAGACTGACCTCTTCACTCGGTACGAAGCAGTCTGACAGATCGCTACTGAGGTATCCGCTACACCGTCATGCTGCTGCTAGACAGATTCACGCTCAACCGACCTGATTGTCAATGTACCCGCACCTGCCACCTCAATCATTCGACTCCCACCAGCAGATGTTATGCTGACGTTAGAGGATTACAATGTATTTCCCTTATACCATTACATGCGCCTTTCATCGCTGTCAGACGAAGAAAGGCGTTCTATATAGGTATGATGATAGCATCAGACCCAAGCCTGCCCCCTCCCCTGCAAGAGGCTTTCCAGGCCACGAGGATGAAGAGCATATACGCCTATCATCAACAAATCTGATACAAAACCGGCTGATGCTATACCTTCTGCTTCTGGAGCTTCTGTCCACTATCGTTATCGTGATCATCATCCTGCAGCTTCCTTTTTTTCCCTTCGTTCTTGGACATGGAATCTGCTCTATTAGTAGGGAATGTCTGGTTTAGAAGCGATTGCCGCTCGTCAATCATGCGGGCACTTGTAGATGCGGACAGTTTCTGGTCACAAGTGGATGACGGGTCGGGGCTTGATGTTTGTGGTGATTGTTGGGACAAGCCGCCAGACGTGTCTATCAACGACAGATATGGCGACGGGAGCGGCGAGATTTGGTCTGTTGGTGGTGCGACCTTGAGAATGCCGTCCAATTGCTCTGGTGGATGCTCACAAGATGCCTGATCGCTGTCACCTTTTTCGGCCACCACGACTTCATCTACACCTGACGGCGATAGATTCGTCTCCGACGTAGGACAGTCGGACACCTTCCAAGAGGGATCATTCCACAAGTTCTCTTCATCCTCATTTCAATCTTCCCATCCCTGAGGTGAGTAAAGGCCAGAAGCTATCGTATTGTCGTACTGAAATGGGTCATCCACAAGCTCTGACGAGATCTCTTGGGTGTTGTATTTGCTTCTGAGATCCTTTCCATCAATGCAGTCTTCAGTTTTATCTGCGTCGTCGATCCGTGGCACCCTGTTCTCTTTGTCGCCATCCTTCCAGCCGAACACCACACCACACAGGACTTGCAGAAGACTGTCAAGGCTACCCGTTTGGCTAGCTTTGAGGGCCGCATGGCGAGGAGTCTTTGAGAGTGATGGATTCTGGATGCACGCGACTGCAATATCGAGGATTAACGTATCGTACTCCCGCCGGCGTTCTTGACATTGAGCGTCCAGGAGTTCTTCGAGGTGCTCACGACTCTGGGCGAGCTTCGCGGCGGCACTGACGTCAGCAAAATAGGCATCTTCGTCTCGTAGCGGGATAGTGATGGTATTATATCGATGCCAGTATTTGTTCCAGAGCGGTGTCGGGTTGCGGAATGGGAGTTTAGCCCTTTTGACCCAAGCCTTGTCCTTCTCGCAAGTCACCTCCGGCGGCTGGATGGCGGGCATCGTGTGGTCGGTCAATCGATCGGTCAATCGCGGTCCCGTATCAGAGCTGCGCGCCGTCTTCGACGGGTCGGGAGATTTTGTGGTCGCAGCGTCGGGAATATCTGCGAAGTATGCAGCGCGTCGAGAGACTGGAAATCAGGGAAGCGTGGAAACAGCTTGAGGGGCACGTTGTGTTGATAACATGTGTCGCAACGGACCAAATGCTTCAATGAACGTAGAAAATGGTCAGAGGGAATCTACGTAGCCCCGGCCCCGTGACCTTATCGATTGGTCAGCGCCTCGGTCTGCCAACCAGGCCTTGGCGACCAATTTTAGCAGCATCGTACCTAAGCGCCGACCTGTGATGTCACCAAAGGCCTGCAGGTACCTAATCCAGGTCTCGTAGTGCTATAAGAACATGTGCCCTTCTTGACCGAACCGTGTTTCAATTATTGGTTTGTGCTCCTAGTTATCCATCTGCTGTATGTCGAAAATGTCGTCTGGTGGAGAATCAACTCAGCCTTTCAGCGACTCTTCGGAGATGCAACGCCGCCTAGACCGAATCGCAGCTGAACATCAGAAAACAGGAGAACGAAGCGGCGTGGTACAGGCAGTATTGTCGGCGCCTGACGAGGTGGAACGGACTTGCGGGCCAAAGGCCGAAAAAAGACCAACACAAGCGGCCGCCAGCGTGACGGTCGCTGAATTGACCGAAGCTCTTATTAGTGCTACACTCGCTTCGGCACCGGACGCCCGGCTTGTTCTCGCTTGCCCTAACCTAGCGAACACGACGAACTGTAGTAGAGTTGGTGGAAGATGCCTAACCTAGCGAACACGACGAACTATAGTAAAGTTAGTAGAAGATACCTAACTTAACCTAGCGAACACGACGAACTATAATAGAGTTAGTGGAAGATGCTTAACAAAATAAATATGGGGCGTAAAAATAAGGGGGTAGAGTTAATAAAAAATATATAAGGTAAAGTTAGTAAACGTTTCCCGGAGTAAATAGTACGAAACTAATATATATCGATTTATTTTAATTAATTTATAACGTTTATAACGTTATAAATATTTATTTTTTAAATTATTATTATAAAATAGTAATTAAGATTATCTTACGGATTAAATAGCGCTTATTATTATAATCAAAAAAGGTAATAGTTTTAACGTCTAGTATAACGCTATAATTAAAATAGTTACCCGCTTAATAGTATTTAATTTTAATTATCAATTAAGACCCGAAGGGTTAGGTTTTAAGAAAAAAAAAGAAAAATTAATTTATAAAAGTCAAAAAAAATTAAAAATTAAAAAATAATTTTTATATAATTTAAATTAATATTAAATAAAATATTTAATTATATATAAAAAGTTAGTATTAATTTAAAATTTTAAAATTATAATTATTTAGAATTAATAATAATAAAAAATAAACTATAGCTTATTTTAACGCCTTAAAGTTTTAATCGCTTCCGATCGATATTAACAATTAAAAAACTTATAACCTACCTTAATAATTTAAAATTTTAATCGCTTTTAATCGATATTAACAATTAAAAGACTTATAATTTACCTTAATAGTTTAAAATTTTAATCGCTTTTAATTAATATTAACGATTAAAAAACCTTAGCGTTTAAAAACTTTTATTTACTTAATTTTAATAATATCCCCTATTTTAATCCCCTTTATAAAAGCTAATAATAATAACTCTATCACCTCCTCTTTAATTTTTCTTTTATAAATCTATTTTAAAACCTTTATTACTTTAAAATTCTTTTTAACCAAAATCCTATCGATAATATTTACTTTTACTACCTTATATAAATTATATAAAAATAATACCTTTTTAATTAAAAAACTATATATTAATTATATTTTCCTTTTTTTTAAAAACTTAATAGCTTTACGTTTTTTCCCCTTTTTTAATTATTTATATTACGACTTAATATTTTTTAATAAAAATATTAATACCCTTAAATTAAATATATTAATAAATATCCTAAAAATAATAAACCGATAAATCGTATTAATAAACTTTTATTTATCTTTAAAACTTAACTTTTTTATAAAATAATTAGTTAAATAATTATTTACCCTTTTTCCTTAACCTATAATAAACCCTTATTTTTTTAAAAAACTTTATAATCGTAACGCCTTAAGCCCTCCTTTTTAATAAATATTTTTTAAATCTACTTACTTTTTTTAAAGCTTATATTACTATATATATATACGTATTTAAGTAAAAGCCGTCCTTATCCCGATTAACTTATTAATAATACTCCTTTATTATTTTATAAACGACGTTAATTAAGGGTATTACTATTTAATAAACTTATTTATTAATCCCTTAACTTTTTAAATCGTATTACTTATTAAAAAGGTAATAGTAATATTACACTTAATTAGTAAATAATATAATCGTTTTTTAGATATTATTTTAAATATCTAATAAAATACTAGCTCTTTAATATAATAATAATTATCTTTTTTTAACTTAATATTATCTTTACCTCTTAACTCTTTTATTATAATTTAAAATACCGCCTAAAATTATAATATTCTTTTTAATATATCCGTATTTTTTATTCGTTTTTTAAAGATTTTAAGTATTTTAAGTAGCCGGGGAGTAACCGTTTTTATTAATTTAAACGGTTTACTTTTAATAAATAATCGCTTATTAATACCTTATTCCTTATCTTTTTTAATTATAATAACTTTAAACGTCTCCTCGGTCTTTATATCGCTATTAATATTATTTATTTTAATAATTATATTATTTATAAATATATCTTCGGATCGCTATCGTTCGTAATTTATAAATAAAATCGCGATAAAAGTATTATTAATAGGCTAATAAGAGTTTTTATTTAATTAAAGCTTTAAATTCTTTTACCGATAACTTTTAATAATCTATTATATTTAACTTTTTATTTTTAATATATTAAAAGCCTATTTAAATAATAATTAATATATACTTACGAATAACGTCCTAACTATAACCTAAATTATTTAAAAACACCGCTAGCTTTATAATATAAACTACGTATTTATTAATTTTTTAAAAACGGTCTAGGTCCTATCAATTAAGACCCGAAGGGTTAGGTTTTAAGAAAAAAAAAGAAAAATTAATTTATAAAAGTCAAAAAAAATTAAAAATTAAAAAATAATTTTTATATAATTTAAATTAATATTAAATAAAATATTTAATTATATATAAAAAGTTAGTATTAATTTAAAATTTTAAAATTATAATTATTTAGAATTAATAATAATAAAAAATAAATTATAGCTTATTTTAACGCCCTAAGGTTTTAATCGCTTCCGATTAATATTAGCGATTAAAAGACCTATAGCCTACCTTAACGGCCTAAGGTTTTAATTGCTTCCGATCAATATTAGCGATTAAAAGACCTTAACGTTTAGAAACCTCTATTTACTTAACTTCAATAATATCCCCTATTTTAATCCCCTCTACAAAGGCTAATAATAATAACTCTATCACCTCCTCTTTAGTTTTTCCCTTATAAATCCATTTTAAAGCCTTTATTACCTTAGGATTTTCCCTAACTAAAATCCTATTGATAATATTTACCTTTACTGCCTTATATAAGTCATATAAAAACGGTACTTTCTTAATTAAAGAACTATATACTAATTGTATTTTCCTCCTTTTTAAAGACCTAATAGCTCCACGTTTTTTCCCCCCCTTTAACTACTTATATTACGACTTAATATTCTTTAGTAAGAATATTAATACCCTTAAACTAAGCATATTAACAAGTATCCTAAAAGTAGTAAACCGATAAATTATATTAATAAACTTTTATCCGTCCTTAAAGCTTAGCTTTTTTATAAAATAGCTAATTAAATAGCTATCTACCCCTTTCCTTTAGCCTATAATAAACCTTTACTTTTTTAAAAAACCTTATAATTATAACGCCTTAGGCCCTCCTTTTTAATAGGTATTTTTTAAATCCACCCACCTCTTCTAAAACTTATATTACTATATATACGTACGCATCTAAATAGAAGCCGTCCTTATCCCGACTGATTTATTAATAATACTCCCCTACTACTTTATAAACGACGCTAATTAAAGGTATTACTATTTAATAAGCTTATTTATTAATCCCTTAACTTTTTAAATCGTATTACCTATTAAAAAAGTAATAGTAATATTACACTTAGTTAATAAGTAATATAATCGTTTTTTAGACGTTACCTTAAACATCCGATAGAATACTAGCTCCTTAATATAATAATAATCATCCTTTTTTAATTTAATATTATCCTTACTTTTTAGCTCTTTTATTATAATTTAGAATACCGCTTAAGATTATAATATTCTCCTCGATATATCCGTATTTTTTATTCGTTTTTTAAAGGTTTTAAGTATCCTAGGTGTCTAGGGAGCAGCCGTTTTTATTAGCTTAGACGGTTTACTCTTAGTAAATAATCGCTTATTAACACCTTATTCCTTATCTCTCCTAATTATAATAATTTTAAACGTCTCCTCGGTCCTTATATCGCTATTAATATTATCTATTTTAGCGGTTATATTATTTATAAATATATTTTTAAATCGCTATCGTTCGTAACTTATAAATAGGATCGCGGTAGAGGTATTATTAATAGGCCGGTAGGAGTTTCCGTCCGACTAAGGCTTTAGGTTCCTTTGCCGATGACTTTTAATAATCTATCGTATTTAGCCTTTTGCTTTTAATATATTAGAAGCCTATTTAAATAATAACTAATATATATTTATAAATAACGTCCTAGTTATAACTTAAATTATCTAAAAACACCGCTAGCTTCGTAATATAAACTACGTACTTATTAGTTTTCTAAAAGCGGTCCGGGTCCTATTTAAATCTTAAAATTAATTAGTAAAGACGATCGCTATTTTACAATAGCCTTAATATTATGGCCTTTATTAACAAAGAAGCTTATTAATTTAATAATATAGCGGTCGTTAACTAGGCTAAATTTAGCGATATAACTCGTGATTTTTTTATTATAA